TTCTAAATAAAATTAATAAATACCTGAACATTTTCACAACCCATTTGCTATTTCAATTTTTTGGCAATACGCGAAATATAAAGAAGAACAGCGTGGAATCTTTGAGAAGACCGTGAATCAGAAAGTAGTTATTCGCCCAAAAATAATTTCAGCGAAGTCGGCAATAAGCCATCCAACAATCATCCCTGCCTTCAGCAAATGATCATTTCAAGCCGTCGTGTCACAGAAACAAATTATTTTCTCTGCGCCTCATGCATTTCATCCTATTTAACTCGATATCCCTCGAGGTTGCACCCAGTCCAGTCCTGATGATGCTACAGTCTATGTATTAACACACATTGGTAATAACACACGTTGGCAATAATCAGTTTAACTCTCTGCTGCATTTGGTGCCCTGAGTCATGAATACCTCAAACACGTATCTTCATATCCCATCTATGCTCTCAGCTCTTAGTACAATGGCAAAACTAATTGAATTTAGTTTGAAGATTACTCCTGCGCTAATCTCTGATCAACCATCGTGTGATTCAACCGAATTGCTACTTTAAAACACATGCACCGGGCAACAGCATTGCCGTGCATCTTTCTCCTACGTTCTTACATGAGTACAAGCAGGCGCCATGCTGTCGCTATTGTACACGTTAACGACTTGCTACAGGTTTTTGGACTGGTTTCACTGAATCGCGGTAAGTCAAATTCATAAATCAAGAAAATTAGCAGTTAACAGGCAATGACTAAATATTTTCCTAACGTGTTTGCATGGAAATATAAAATATTCCTCTCCCCCTCAACACGATACTCTCTGAAACAAACAAAGTGGTCTCTGAATCACAACGGGTCACTGAATATCAGAGGCGTGGTGATTAGCGCCATGCCAGTTAAGGTTCGAGAAATTGACGAGACACACGGTGCATCATGACGGTAGCAAGCCGGGCAGAAACCAGTTGTTGACCGTTTTAAACCGGCTTTTACTACATTACACGTGATGTGCCATATTTCCGTTGCATGTATGGCTAAACGTGGTGGTAGTGTTTCGTCCGACCCTCGTATCGGCGGCATTTCCACGACGTCGCCTACAAAACCGGTCGTCGCCACACGTATTTGGGTAGCATTCATCATATTTTTCATTTCAAGAATTCTGAAGGCATCACTGGCCTTAAACCTGTCGTCGACATTGACAGCAAACAGTTACTACCATGACTGTCGCCATTCGCTGCACTTACACACCCGCCCCCTAGTGACGCACTGCAGATCATCGAATGCCGGTTTACGGTAATAGTTAGGTAGAATCTTCCGAGGAGTCGCAAGTTGCTACATGGTGGCAACGAAGCTGGCGACCTCTCGTATTACATATTTGAAAAACCAAACAGGGTGGTTGAACATTGAGACAAAGTAAGGAACAGCTGACTCAGGTGTTCGTTACCTCACCTGAACATCACAAGTTGTACAAACGCTCGAGCAAGTTAAAACTTTCTCTCCTCCTCTCCCTCTTCCTCCTCCAAGACTACTTTTCTTGGCGTTTCACGTCATCCTCTGGCTATCAGTTGCCTCAGGGAGCCGTATGCACCTCCCATGGTTTTATCAGGTAAAACCGGGTCACGCTCATCATGAATCATGTTCAGCGGTGGAACACGCCGCGAAATCAGGTTCTTGAGAAGTCGTTTTTTATCTGACACACTCGGGCATATGAAAAGCTTATGATTTTATGCGGTTTCAAATAAGGACTACAAGCGCGATCCCGAATCATTGTTCGTGATGAGAGCGAAGAAGTTCTAGTGAACAAAATCATGTAAATTGCATCTTGCACTACAGGTGCACAAATGCCATCGAGCCATGGACGGTTTAAATGATCCTGTAGGCTTCTCAGACTCGGGAACTGTGCAATACACCATTTAATCTGGTTTTAAAGTGCTCATTCGTTGACACACTCGGGTGTACGAACAGCTCATGATGTAATACGGTAGCTCATAAGGAGTTCTAATGTCTGAGACATCATTTTTGATGAGAGAGAGGTGGTCGGTTTGGTGAGGAAAATGAAGTGACATGCATCTGGAGTAACACGTGACTTATTTAAATGATCCCTCAGGCAAAGTTGCTTGCATTCTCTCTGGAA